ACGGTTGTACCGCATATGTTAAAAAAAAGCTTTCTGCAAACCTGTTTGCAACAACTTCATCGGACCTCTCTCCTTCTCGTCTTAATTGTGAACGTAAAGTCCTCAACGTGTTTTGACCAAAAAAAAAAAGTCCTCAGCGTGTTTTGACCAAAAAAAAAAGTCCTCAACGTGTTTTGACCAAAAAAAAAAAGTCCTCAACGTGTATGTCCTTTGATATCCTCAAGTTGGATGGTGGATGGTGAATCACGCAATAGAGATGCTTCTTGAACGCAGAGAAGACTAGCTGGGTGTTTTAGTTGTAATTTGTCCATTGCAATTAGGCATAGGGCATTAGACCTCTCTCAATGTCTCAACTAAGGGTTCCTCCCACTTTGTTCCATCCTTCTTTCCCTTCAGGCATTTCTACCAGACTACCTAGGCCTCCATCACTCCGTCGTGATTATATTCCTTGTCAAGTCCGATCCATGGTTGCCCCCGATAATCAAATTATTGTTAGAAGAACAGCAAATTACCAGCCTACCATCTGGGGATATGATTATATTCAATCACTCAGAACGGAATATGTGGTACTACCATATACAAGTTCCTAGGTTGAACAACTACACCTGGTTTAAGGATATTGATTTTAAGTTTTAATAGGATTCTTACCTTTTTTGCAGGGAGAATCATACACTATACGCAGAAACAAGTTAAAGGAAGATGTAAGACTGATGCTAGACAAGTACGTACACAAGGAACCTTTGTATCAACTTGAGTTTATTGATGCCTTGGAAAGGCTTGGATTATCATACCATTTTGAAGATGAAATAAAGAAAATTTTGGAGAGAGTGTATGGTAATAACCAGTGCAATTATGGGCTCAAGAAAGATAGTTTATATGCTACAGCTCTTAAGTTCAGACTCTTAAGGCAACATGGTTATAATATACCTCAAGGTACTTTCTAACTTCTATTATTATTGCTTTTTTCTGTAGGTAATATATCCAATAGATAGCAATCTACTCTATATAATTTTGATTTAACCTTTAATTTGCAGAGAGTTTCAATAAATTCATAGATGAGAATGGAAACTTCAAGGCTTGCTTTGGCGAGGATTGCAGAGGAATGCTATATTTGTATGAAGCCTCTTTCCTTTCAGTGGAAGGTGAAAATGTACTAGATGCAGCTAAAACTTTTGCAACAAAGCATCTTAATGAATATGTAAAGTGTAAGGAAGGAAAAGATCCATATCTTTTCACACTAGTGAAACATGCCCTGGAGTTTCCACTGCACTGGAGGATGCTAAGGATGGAAGCAAGATGGTTCATTGAAGTATATCAAAAAAGTCCAGACATGAACCCCATCTTGCTAGATCTAGCCAAGTTGGATTTCAACATGGTGCAGGCTATACACCAAGAAGATCTAAAAGATGCTTTCATGTAAGAGAATTAATGAATATTTGATAACAAATTTAAGATTCTAAAACACAAAATGACTCTCCTAGCTTGTGAAAAATTAGGTGGTGGAAGAGAACAGGTCTTGGGGAAAAGTTGGAGTTCATCAGAAACAGGATGCTAGAGAATTTCTTATGGACAATAGGAGGATCATTCCAACCTCAGTATGGATATGTTAGAAGAATGGCCTCACAAGTCAATGCACTGATAACAACAACTGATGATGTTTATGATGTCTATGGAACTTTGGATGAACTTGAGCTTTTTACTGATGCCATTGAGAGGTTGGAATCATTCCTCCCTCGCATGCTTCTTGCTTAATTATTTTCTAACATTTCTGATCATCATATGTTGTTTGCTTTGCAATTCCAGATGGGATATCAATGCAATAGAACATCTCCCAGACTACTTGAAGTTATGTTTTTTTGCTTTGCACAACTTCGAAAACCAAGTTGTTTCTGATATTTTCAGGGAACAAGGATTAAACATTCTTCCATACTCAAAGAAAGCGGTATTCATCATTTGTTATAGACAATTTAATTTGATTGTTATGTCTTCATTCTCTCTTACTGATTTCATCATGGTAATTTTCTTTTTCAGTGGCTTAATTTATATAAAGCTTATTTGATAGAGGCAAAATGGTACCATAATGGATACACAACAACTCTGAAAGAGTACATTGACAATGCAGTGGTTTCTATATCTGCACCTGTAATACTATATCATTCTTATGTTCTGGCTTCGAATCCAATAACTATGGAGGTCTTGCGATATTTAGATGAGGAATTTCCTGACATAATCCGTTGTTCATCAATGATTTTTAGGCTTGCAAATGATTTGGGAACTTCTCCAGTACTTGACCTTTAATCCTCTCTTTTTGCTTCTTCTATACATGAATACCATTTGAATTATTTTCACCCTATTTGATTTGCACTTATGCATTTTGATCTAGGATGAAATGAAAAGAGGTGATGTTCCAAAATTCATTCAATGTTACATGCAAGAAACTAAAGGTTCTGAAGAAGATGCTCGCAAATATATACGAGATTTGGTTGGCATAACATGGAAGAAGATGAACAAGGAATTATTGGATCAGACCTCTCCTCTTCCTCGATCTTTGATTGAAGCTGCGATAAATCTTGCAAGAATGGCTCAATTTATGTATTCGCACGGAGACGGCCATAGTTCTCAAGATCATGTCATGAAGACTCGCATATTATCATTGCTTGTCAATCCCATAGTTTAGGGAAGAGGATGGAATTCCTAGCTGTTGAAACCAAGACTTGGTTGTCCATACCTTTTTCTTAAAGGAGGATGGCTAATAGGTCACTAGATTTTGGATTCAATCCCAAATAAGGATAGCAAATAAAAGGTACTTAATTAATGTTGCAAAACTTTGTCAACTCCGTAGGGTTTCTTCGTTTGACAACGTGTTAGCAACGTTTTTAATTTGAGAAATTCCTTTCATTTCTCTTTATTTCTCTTAAACAAATATTTTTTAAGGATTTGGAATAAATAACTGTATTTTAAATTATAACTTTAAGCTCAAGTTAAAGTTTTGTTATTAATGAGTACAAATTCGATTAATTCTTGCTAGTGAAAAAAACATAATCAGTTTTTATAATGTAATTCGGACAATAATTTATTTTTTAACTTTAAAATTTTTTAAGATACATTTATTACACATTTTTATTAGTAATTTATATTAAAAATAATAAAAATTGACTTTAATTTTATTAACTATCCAATTAAAATGTTTCATGTAATATTAGTATTGAAAATAAAATTTACATTGTTAATTTTTATACAAATTAATGGTAAAAAATATAATAAATACACCCTTAATATGTATCTTAGAAAAAAACTTTTTAACTTTTGAGTAAGGATCCACTTACACATTATACTTATGTAAAATATTAATTATTCATTTTTTTACTTTCTATAGTAAGAGTTATTTACTTTTTATCATATTTATTAAAAATATTTTTTTACTTAAAAAATCATGATAAATTTAACCATTAAAAAAAATTAGTAATTAAAATTTTATATAAATAAAATATATAAAATTTATATATAATTAAATCCCTACACTAAACTTTTTATTGAAAATTGAAGCTACAACATTCCAAAAAGAAATTTTTTGGAAAAAAAAAAAAATGAAACATATTGGGCCAGAATGGTCAACCTGGCCTATCTCTGTTTTACATGGATCATGAAAGCCCGATGCAAACCCTATTAATAGAAGTGACGCAGCAAAAAAATAAATAAATAAATAAAAACAAACAAAAAAAAAAAATCCCTTCCGGTTTCTTCTTCTTCCGGCACGAACGGGGAAGGTTTTTGACGAAAGCAAAGCGACGGCAACAGCACCAGTCATCGCTTCGCCGGCTGAATCTCATAGCCAATTTAGGGGAAAAAACAGTACATCCTTAGACTTTTTTTATACGATATAGAATTGTAGAAATGGGAGAAGAGGAGAGGAAGAAGAGGGTAGTGGTGGAATCGCTGGGATGGCTGACGGAGTCATCCATCATGCCCAAGAAGCACCGGGCTATTGATGGGGTGGGTGCCTCCTCCATCCTAGAACTCAAAGCACAGCTCTACAAATCACAGGAAGAATCTAAGAAAACAAAAGAATTGAGCGGCCCTGACGTCGAATACCACCGCGCCAAGAAGATCACTCCTCGCGATACCTTCTCCATCAAGAATTCCGGCGTCGAAGCCCGTGCCCTCAAGTAAGTCCTTTTCCCATGTTTTTTCTTTTCCTTTGTAATGGGGGCGTTGCAAGTTGGTTGCTTTGGATTCTAATTCGACAGATTAGATTATAGGGATATGAGGTTTTGCCCCGATGTTCTTTTAATTCTTCCGGGTAAGAATAATAATGATTGAGATAATTCCCGGCGAGGCCTTCAAAAGAGCTAAATTTGTGTAGTTTCTGATGTTAATGTTTAAGAAAACTATTTCCATTACTGATTTTATCTTGTTCTACTTTTAGAGAGTGAAAACAAGCTAATTGTGAGTTAGGCAGGTAAGCACACTGCTGTAGGCTTCAACTGTCGAAATTATGCGATTCTGGTAGTGAGAAGGAATAAGGACTTTTAGATAGCATACCTATGTATTCCATTCTTAATCCGTGTGTGTCCTTGTTGGAAGCATAGAAGATGAATGCACTTACTGAGAGTTATTAAGTTCTCCCAAGTGTCAGTGTATGTATTACAGCAGCCTCCTGTTGTTTGCGATTTGAGCCTCTGCTTCCGGAGATCTAATGGGCATTGGGTGACATGAACTCTCGGTTGTGTTTAATAGTGTTTAAAAAATCAGTTTAATTGTGTAACTACCTTGTTGGGACTATCAAAGCAAATGAGTTTTGAGTTTGGTATGCCATAAACAAGCAACAGCTTATAAAGAATTATCTGATTGGGAAATCTAAAGGGAAGTAAAATAAACAGGTAATTGGTAGATGTATTTCTATGTGCCATTCAAGATCAAAACCATGATCCCTCATTGCTTCTCTATGTTGTTGACGTTTTTCTCTTGCATTGTGTGTAGCAGATATCTTGCCAGTAACTTGTGTAATCCGTGTTTATGTTAATTTAACTGGCCTTTTATTTTATGGTCTTAGAGCTGCCTTTCTGCTTGTGTACATAATGTTTTTCTTTCTCTCTCTCTCTCTCTTTTTGTATTTTCAGGGACAAGCTTGAGCTGAAGGCAGTTAATGATGGTTCAGCCAGTTATGCAGCATTGGAGAAGAAGGCTGAGTTGTATGAAAAGCTTGTGAGAGGAGAGCTATCTGATGAGGAAGATAAAGAGAAGTATTGTGTTGACTTTTTCCAAAAGGGTATTGAGGAGGATGAGTCGCAGCAGTCACAAGCTCATCATGCTTCTCATACAGAACCAGTAGATGAAGATGGTGACAATGATGCTTCATTTCTGTTTAATACAAAATCCTCAGGGCCAGGGCGAACAGATGGAGTATTAGACAGAGATGAACACAGGCGTTTTGTAAGGTGAGGCTTTTGCTTCTTTTCTGGTATTGTTCCTTCTGTGATATTGTTCCAGTTTCTTAATTAGTATTTGGCAAGTTATAATATGAAATTTTTGGTGAACCTTAAAGATGGGAACCTATTAATAGTATGACTAATATTAAAATCATATTTAATTGAAAGAGAATTTGTAGATCTTACAACTACTTTTTTGTTGTGACCAGTCTCCTTGATGGTATGATTTTCAAGTACCGATATTTACGAACTTCTTGTCATGAAACAGAAAACTGCTGGTAATTACTAAATGGTGGTTATTTTGCAGGGAAGTTCATGAAGAAGCAAATCAAGCCAGGGAAAAAGTGTCTGAGCTAAAATTACGAAGGCAGGAACAAGCAGCAGCTCGTCGTGAGAAACTGAGGCAGGCCTATCTTCGTAAACAACTAGAGAAACTGAAAGCAGCATCTGGTACACAACAAACGTAATCAGGGGGAGGAGATTACTGGATTCCCAAGCTATTGAGGGATTGCTGTTTAACCATGAGACCAAGCATATAGCCATTGCGTCGCTAACCTAATAAGCGTTATCTTCTTTTTTTTTAATCGCTATGTGCATCTCTCATTGTCTTTTGCATGTATGTCATTGTTTCTTCTCATACAAGGCACGTGTTTCTCCTTTTCAAATGAGATATGAAATCTTGAGGTTTTGCATCAGAACTTACTTAGTGACCGACTTTATGGCTTTGTTAACTCTAGCCAACCAGGTTGTTCAATCATGGGAGCATTCTGCTGTCAAGATTCATTTCATGTACAGATGGGAGGGTATTTGTATGTCCATCAGTTCCAATGGCAGGAAAAGTGGTATTTAAAATTAAAGGAAAAGGGGAAGAAAAATGAAAAAAGAAGAGGTTCGACTCCACTGGGGATCGAACCCAGAATCTCTGGTTCCGTAGACCAGCGCCTTATCCATTGGGCCATGGAGTCTTCGGGGTTGGGTTTTGTGGTTGCAATTTAACTTAAAATAGAAATATTGACAATTAGAAAGCTGAGCTGGATTCGCCGCCTTTCCAAAAAATGCAAGGCAATAAGCCAATAATCTATGATAACCTTACTAACTAATACTTGACGACAGATTTCAATTTATAGATTTTAACAATCAAATTTTAAGATTTTAAATAGAATCTATACTAAAATAGGGAAAAATGTTTTCTAATTCAACAATGCAAGAAAAAGGTACAAAAATACTGTGAAATTATTTAAGTTCTTTAACAAGTATTCATCATGAACTTTCTTTTTCTGAAGTTAAACTGAAATTCTACATCCCATTTACTAAAACAGTAAAACATATTATTTAAAAGTAAAAAGACCAGATAATACATATATAAGGAAAATAAAAAAACTAAAAACTGTTGAACAATTTGGACCACACAACGACACATGAAAAATGAACTTCAAAAACACTCGTCATAACTCAGCTACATTGAAAAACTTCAGAACAACTGTACTAAACAACAAGCCGGACTCTAGCTAACACACGTCTTACATGCAATATCACCGCGTGCCATGCCCCACTGCTACTCCACCTCTGCTCTTCCGACCGCCTCCTCTTTCTGCTCCACCGCTGCCTCCTCTTTCTGCTCCTCCGCTGCCTCCTTCACACTAAAAGACAAAGACTCCCTCCTTATCAGGAACCTCCCCGTAGGTGGAACCCAAAGGTTCAGAAACCCCTGCGGCCTCCCTGAAGGCCTCCTCACCTGCACCGTCATGCACTGTATCGGATTATCTGCCGGCTCTGACACATCCCCTCCCTTCAACACATCACATAACAAAACCCTAGCACTTCCCACTGGCTTCTCCCTCACGTGACCATGCGCGTATATGTCCACGTTCACAGCCGCCAACACGTCGTTCTCCGGTAGCCGTGCTGGAAACTTCACCTTCACCACCTCGTTCCAGGTGGGGTTGGTTTCGCCGTGCTCGTCTACGCGCGTTTTCGCCACGTGGGATTTTTCCACGTAGACAACTGCGTAGGTTTTCATCTTGTTCACATGCTTGACATTCTTGAGATCTTGGGCGGATATTATGAGGACTTCTATCTCCCTGAGTTGATCCGCCGGACGTTGGATTTTTCGCCCTGATATGTGGCTCATGACGTTCGCCAAAGATGGCCAACAACTTTTTCTTGGGTCTGATGAAAAATGAACTTCTTCTCCTCGTTTTTTATTTGTTTGCCCTTTTATATATTTTTGGGATTTTTTTTCCGCCCTGATAATGGATTTTTTTTTTTTCTTTTGGTCAATACTATAGGTAAAAAACATCAAAGTCATCCTGATTACATCATAAATTACAAAAATTTAAAATTATGTTACATGTCAAAATATTTTTAAATGGATGAAGCAGATTAAACTATGTCAGATTTGCTATTATAGACTCCATGACAGATCAGCTACCACATTAACAAAAAAAGGAGATAAAAATAAGATTTTACTATGTAATTACTCTTTGAATTAAAAAAGAACTGTTTTAACTCAAATTTAGGAGAAAATTGCAATTGTAGAAGGCAGTTATTTGATAAGAGTACAGGTGGCAAAAATTTAGAAGGAGATCTGATCAGATCAATTGTTGAATCGTTCCTTTACCTCAAGCAACCACCCACAACTTTGCAACTATAGAAAGTGAGGAGTTACAGCCAAGGAGATGGCAATTGTAGAAGGCAATTATTTGATAAAAGCATAGGTGGCGAAAATTTGGAAGGAGATCTGATCAGGTCAATTGTTGAACTGTTCCACTACCTCAAGAAATCACCCACAATTTTGTAACTATAGAAAGTGGAGAGTTACTGTCAATCAAAGGAGAACAAAAAGGAAATTTTAGAAGGGAGAACACACGATCAACTCTACTCAAACACCTGCAAATTTTCATACTTTCATTTTCTTTGCAAATTGCTTTTAGATTTCGGATTTCAACATAATTTCCAATAAATCTAGGTTGTTTTTCATTATTCCAATAGATAAACTAGTTCAAGTACTTGCTTCAGCAATTTCGTTTCATGTAATGAACTTCAAGGTCTTAAATTTTTTTAAGGTACTGTTCCTTTTATGACGGTAATTAATTTAATATTTATGATAAGTAACATTTCATCAAATGTTCACTTATATGACGTTCACGTTTCTTATCAATTTCAAGTATGTTACTTTAATCACTGTTCATGTTTATTTTATTTTTAATTAGGGTTAAATCTCCAATTCTGCAGTAATTTAATTTCTAGATCTGTCAGCAAATAGCATTTTAATTTAACAATGAACATGTTTAGTTTAATTTGGATACATCTTGTTTTCGTAAATTTATTTTAAACTGCATGCTTTTTAGTTTAGTTAAGATTTGATAATTTTAATTAACGGTAGTGTTTAAATTCTTGGAGTTATCCCAGGCAGATCATAACCCATTCTGCAGGAAAGCATGCCTCCCTCTTGCAAATCATTTGTAAGCGCAGATTTTAGTTTTAATCCAACGTTTTTCTCGCCATCTGTAAAGAAATCGACTGTGAGGAAGGAAAGCGTCATTTGGAAAACCCCTTTTTTCTTAGTTTCAACAAAGTAAATGGTACGCTTACATTTAGATTCCGCACGGACGAGGTCACCAGAGGATTTTTTGGGAAACACATTCTTCACCGGCCTCTGTGCAGTCCTAATGGCTGACCTGAGTGCTTATCTTCGAACACTTGACACATGGATCTCGGGTTCGCAGGTCCGGTGATCAAAGGATACGTTTTTATTCATTTGTTTGACTTTTAATACATAATTAATAAGAAAAATATTTTATAGTTAAAATTACATTATATTATAAAATATTAATTATTAAATATTAAGAAATTTTGAAATAGCTAATCTAATTTCTCTCTTAGTCAGTATTTTGCCGCTGAACTTAAAAAAAATATTGAACTTGCTCATCAATGTATGGATGAAGGAACAAAGGAACGGAATACATAAAGTCAAAGTATGACAATTAGTAATTTTGAAAGAAGTTTTAAGTAGATGTAGGAGTACTAATATATTTCCTATTCACATTGACCAAAAGAAAGACTCCAGAGCTCCTATTTTTTTTTGGCCAAAAAAAGAAAGACTTCTCTGATTAAAAAGCATTCTTTTGGACTATAAAAAAAAAAAAAGGAAAAAAAAAAACAATAATTCTTTTAACTACAAAAAGAAGTAAAATTTTATCCACAATGATAGGGGAGAAAATATTATGTAAGTTAATTAGTATAACGTATTAAGTAGATGCATGCCTGTGATGTGAATGGATACTTGGCTGCTGATTTTTGTTTGATTTCTTGTATGAGGTAATAGTTTCATGTATATGGGTTGGAGCACCCCTTGTGCTCCTTAAGATAATAATAACTTTATTTGCTGATCAAAAAAAAGTAGATGCATGCCTAAGCAGTTGTAGCTTAATTGTTAAGGAGGCATGTTCCTTATCTGATTGATCAAAGTTTAATTTTTTGGGGTGGTCCTGTACCTGTTGCATTTGCATCTGTCCTAGCTGGGGTTGTTGCCTGGTTCTTTTGAGTTCAATACTTCAATTACTACGTTATATTTCTTCCTGATTATAGTAATATTCATTGAATGCTAAAAATCTTCTTTCCTTTGGTTTCATTTCCTGCTGTGTTTACTCCATATAACTGGGCACTTGAGCACCGGAGAATGTGGATATTAGTGAAAATTAATTATTCTTTTAATGAGTTTTTCTTTTTTACTAACCTTTCAGTATCTGATAACCACATTAAATCCCGACTAATCTGAAATTGAATTACATCAAAACCCATAAAAGGAAAGCTCTCCTAATGCATGTTTTTCTATTCACAAAACTCGAACTCAAGACTTTATTTAACGAGAACCGAATTTCTTCCACTTGGACCAATAGGTCGTTGATAATTATTCTTCCAATGAGTTAATTTCATTACAAAGCAAGGAACAACTTAAGCATATGTTAAACACAGACTAACATATCCATGTAATCACTAACCTTGAATAAGTAAAGAGTTCAAATTCAAAGTCATCGTTGTTCTATGGAACCAAAAAGATCCTTGTATGAACGCTTAGGAGCATCCACACGAGAAACTATCTCCACAACTTTGTAAGATGATTCTGGATGGACTAACGACTCCACAGCAACTTCTGCAACCTGATCTCTGGATATGGTCCCTTCATAGAGGGTATCCTGGAGTAAGAGAAATCAAATAATCTTATGTCAGAATTAGGGAACATTGAGGAAAAGAACTTTGAAGTTTAAATGCATGCCATTACCTCTGGCTCCATGGCAACATTTCCTGTTGGTGAGTCATTTCTCAATCCACCAGGCCTTATAATGGTGTAGTTAATACCAGATTTCCTGATATATTGCTCAGCTTGGAGCTTTGCTATCAGGGTGAGTCCAAAAACATTGAGAAAGATGTAAGCCGGATTGAGAATTTGTCCCATTGCAGCTCCATTGACTAAAATAGAACTGATAAGAATGAATCTATTCACACCAACTTTACTGCAGGCATCAACAAGGTTTACTGTGCCAAAATTATCCACCTACAATAAATAAGCTCACATCAGCCTACAATACTCAAAACTCCCAAAGAGTATCATTAAGGGCAAAGAAATGCAACTCTGCAACATCAAGACACTAAAGTGAAATGGAAGATCATAAACAAGGTCACTGGAAGTTATATGTAAATTGATTCGTCATAATTTACATAGGCAAGTAATATCCTTACAAAAAATAAACATCACATAGAAAAGTAAACTAAATTTTATGTTTTAATAGTGCAGCTGTGTTTCTGTGAACAATGTATGTACAATTATTTGTCTTTCTCACATATGTTGTGCTCATAGGATATGATTGCTTATAACTGGTCTACCAAATGAAAAGATAAACTATCAACGAAGTTTAGACAAAAAAAGGTTGTAGTCATGATTGCAAAATCACTGAGTTTACTGATCAAAAACAGACAAAATTACTCAGTTCCATTTTGAAGCTTCAAATTTTGGAAGAAAAAGAGTGACATTAAAAAGTAAAAAGCAAATGAGCAAATACCAATCTCCATAACATCTTTCCCATCCTAGACGAGTACCTTCGTCCACTTTTTAAATTAAAATCCATGGCAATTCATCACTCTTGGATTTGGTTCTTAAGATGATAATATTAGCAAATAATTGTGTTTTCTATTTAGTTCATTTGTTGTGTACATCACTGTATAAACTAACATAAACATTAAAAATCTCAAGATGACAAAATTAGTGTCAATAAACAGAATACATAGCTGGAGGTGCTTTATTATATTATGAGATTTAAAGAAAGTAAATTTGATTATCAGGAAATAAAAAGAATGGTGTATAGGAAACCATTGCAACATACAAGTGGATGAATATAGGGAATCAATCTCACAGATAGAGAAACTTCTAACCTTCCATGGAGCAAACAAATCCCACCCTGGCCGAAACCCTGTTGCACATACAACAGCTTCTGAATCATCACCAATCACTTCTGCTAGCTTGGCGGAGCCCTCCGTCACATCCGCTTTAACCTGCAAAACTAAAGGCTCACTTATGAAAACCCCAAATAGATTCTACGTAACGAATTGAATCAAGAAATTTTTTTTTTTATTTTTATTTTTATAAAAGAGCCAATTACTGGCTCAAACCCACGTTATGAACATGTATAGGAAAAAAACAGATAAACCCAACAACAGATTTAATGGCAGGAATCCACAACTCTATAGTGCACAATCAACCTAATTGCATTATGCAACGAAATCTTTACCCCATATCTTCAAAAACCAAACAAACCATGGTTTATATAGAATGAAAACAAATACCCAAATTAAGTTTCACTTTCCACTTAGTAATGCTCAAAAAAAGGGAAAAGGAAGAGAGAACTAACAATTTCAAGAGATGGGTTTTCCTTCGAAAGCGAAGTTTTTGCTTTCTCCAAATCACGCACTCCAGCTTTGACTGCAAAACCCTTGGCAAGCAACTGCTCAACAATCCTTTTCCCAGTACTCCCAGTTGCTCCAGCCACAAAAATCTTCTTCTTGACATTCCCACCTGATTCTGTGCTCTCTCTAATTTCCTCTGTAATATCACTTCCCTCCATCTAACAAGCCACAGACACAGAGCAAGGAATTCAATAAAATAGTAAACAGAAGGAAGAGAGATGTTAGGATTGAGTACAGAGTGCAGTAACCTTGGTGGAAGTACTCATTGAAATAGACCCAGTTCTGTTGATGGAAAAGGGAATTGAAGGAATGGTTTTAGTGATGGGAAGAGGAAAATGGAAGAAAGTAGAGTTTTTGGGAAGAAGAGGAGTGGCCATATGCATACCTATACGGCTATACCTATACATTTCATTGAATTGACGAAATGAAAATTATGGAAGAAGAAACCTCTGCCACAGATTTCCTTCCATCTTTCTTCTGCTTCGGTAGTCGTGTTATAACCACGACAAGTGGCAGCTGTATTTCTAAAATAGATTTTTTTTTTCAAATTCACATCTTCATTTTTTTTTAAAGAAAAAAATAATTTTTATGAAATAAAAGAAAATAATTTGGACCATAATAAGACCAAAATTTCTTCTTTTTTTTTTTGTTCGTTTGTTATGTACAATCAAAATTTCTCATTCCATTAGAAAAATAAAAAACCTCGACAATTATTTCAGATGGGCAGAAGTGCAATTCAGTCCCTGTATTTGTAATGTTGTGGCAGATCAGCTCTTATACCAAAAATATTGGCAAATTAGCCCCTTTACTACATGAAATCTGCAAATCACCCCTTCTGTTAAGGATACGTTAGAAAATGTCATCTTTCTGTTTGATTGTCGTGGCCCCTTAACAAAAGATGATGATTGGGCAATGACATGGCATTGACTTAAAAAGAACCACTTAACTTGGGAAAAAAAAAATATTTTTAAGATTTTTAAAGATTGAGACATAAGTTAAAAAATTTTTATGTTTAAATAAGTAAAAGTGAAAAAAAACATCTTGAAAATATTTTTTTTCCCAAGTCAAGTGGGTTTTTTTTAAGTCAATATCATGTCATTGTCCAATCATCATCTTTTGTTAATGGGTAACAAAAATCAAACGGAAAGATGACATTTTCTAACGTCATCCTCAACAGAATGAGTGATTTACGGATTTCATATGGTAGAGGGGGCTGGTTTGCCAGTGTTTCTGGTACAGAAGCTGATCAGCCACAACATTGCAGGTACAATGGCTGAATTGCACCTTCTGACTTTCATATGTATTTTAATTAATTGATAGCATTTTTATTATTTTCAGCTTTTAGTTTATTTTGCTTCTTTTAATACTAGTAATAGGCTACTCGTTAGTTAGAGATAGCCTGCTTAGCGTATCTGCGAGTTTGAGCAAATAAATGGTTAGTTGTGAATGTTTGTTAACAAGAAATTGGGAGAAAAATGAAGCATTAAGAGTTTTATTAACTCTTTTTTATTAGTTTAACAGGTGAATTAATATGCATTAGGTATCTGATTTAAGATTGAAGGGTCTCATAAAATGAGATTGATTTGCAAAATGAATGAGAATGAATGATTCCTTTATCAATACATAGAACATAATATTAGAAATACAAAGTAATTAAAGTTACTGCTAACATCCTAACAAGACTCCTGGTAAATGAAAATTCATCAAAAATTGTATATGCAGGACCAAAAGCAACTCCAAGCCTTGTAGCCTTGCTCTTCTATTTCATCTCATACTATCATGTGCACTGTTTCCCCAGCTATCATCAATATGTTTTCATCTTCAAGTTTCTGAGAAATTGTGAAAAAGTAAATGTTATTTGCAAGTTGAAAAGTTTAAGGTAAGCAATTTGATCACAGCCACCAACCCGATTTAGCTATGAATGGTTACAAGAACGAAAGAAAAACAAAAGAAATACACGTTTTGCAGTTTTTGGAATGAAAAATGGAAAAATTTTCCATATTGTGTTACTGCCATGCATTCTGGTGATGTGACCATAGATCATCAACATTACCTTTAAGAGTAACATAATCTCTGCCCTTGTGTAAGGAGCATCTGCTCCAGCATTGACTACCTCTTCCACTTCTGAAATGGATATGGCATCCTTATGGTTTGCACGCATATGCTGACCAAATGTAGCTTTAAATGCTTCTAATCTGCAAGCCATTAAAGAAAAGATTTGAAAAGAATTTAAAGGAGCAGAACCAATGTAGGGATAAAGGAGAGCTGATTTGGCTAAGGAAAATATGCAAAGTCATAGGAAAGACTTGGACCTCTCAAGAGGGTCGGTGGCAGATGGTTGCGGCGCTGGAGGCTCATCTACATCCATAGCTTCTGTCCTTGAGCTAGTAAAAGCCAGAAAGAGTTGTTGGTCAGCACATGAGAACAATTTTGACCCACCAACAAATACGGACACAAGTATTTGTCATGGAAAATAAACTAGAACATCATATTAGCTGATCATTCTCTAAATGTACTGAGATGAATGCAAATGGCAACAAAAGGCTTAAAAACTTGAGAACGTGATTCTTGCAGTAATAACAGATAATGAATTGGTCCCCCCCTAGGGGATGTCCCAATAGTTGAGAGCTTGAGTCTCTATGTTGGAGATTTCAAATTCGAATCCAGAGCTGGGTGAGAAGAGATTTGGAAATGAGAGGGAGGGTTATCCTCTGTTGTATAGCCTAGCCTATCATGTGATATATTGAAAAAAAAAGGATAATCATTTGTGGCAGCAGATTAGAAGGGTACAATATAAATGTCCATAATCAAATATGTAGTTTTATGTACATACATGGATGTAGATGTTATGTAGTAACAACAGCACTGACATGTTTTCCCAGAAAAAAAGCAGAGCCATGGAATCGAGCTTATTACGTCCCAAATCCCAATCGCATGGATATGCAACTTCTAAAGAACAAGAATGACAAGGGATGCAAAAATTGGGCAATGAGAGCCTTTAAGGAAGCAATGGCCTCCACTAATGCAGTTGCAATATATATAAAGATAGCAATTAACATCTGAAAATGAAATACGACTTATTGCAGGCTCACCTCTGATGGTCAGCTCTGCGTTTCCTTCCCTCTTCTCTCTGTCTTTCTTGTTCACGCTCCTCCATCTCTGTCAACTCTTTGTGATATATAGCAAAATTTAGAACTTTCAGAGCAGCTTCAACATCAGTTTTATTAACCTGCCCATATACAGCCATTATTCCCTAGAAGCACGGGGATATATAAAATCTAATGGAATGGGAAAATGTCCAATTTTTTCTGCCTTTTCATTGGGATTGGTAAACTCTAATGGTATGGGAAAATGCAAAAGCTAAGGGAGCAGATATAAGCCAAAGCAAAAATATGCTATTCAAAATAGAATATAAATAGAATAGAGCATACAATGAGCATGAATCGCATGATAACATTAATTAGCAAAAAAGCATGCAAAAGAGAAGCAAAAATAAGTGAATTACCTTTGGACTCAGCTTCAGTTTTGCATGAGCAGTTGAGAGACGTATTATAGTTTCTAAGGTCCTAGCTGTGATTGGAAGTGTTCCTCCAGTCTACAGGTATCAAGCATTTTATCAAATAAGCGCCACTGGAGCAAGCATATGTCAAATATATTTCAAGGCAAATTATAGAGACCAACCTTTGTGTTCGAACTGGCATTTCTGAGCTCTGCATAAGCTGTTGCAATGTGTTCAGAAGCCTGCATATAAAAATTTCAAAGAGTTACTCACAGATAAACTAAACTCAATGGGGGAGACAAGACAACTGAATGGACGATCGACAGTTAATAGAAAAAGATACAGCAGATTGTCATTCATATAATCTCTACTGATCAAAAGAGGAAAAAAAAGACTACCAATTAGGTCAAAAAGAGATAGAGATCAACCTCATCTGTCAGTTCAGGCTGAAATCTGTGCTTTGCATAATGGATGTACTTTTTAAGAAACTTGATGGTAAGAGTATCACGCTTTGGACCCCTATCCCTTTTCCTTCCATGAAGAATGCGGTTATGCTTAACCCAGATAGATGAGTCAGCATCAGCTTCATCTTCCCTTCCATATCTTGAATTGCCATCAACTGCCGTCTGGCCTACATTGTCCAGTTACATAGGTCAAAATTGCCTTGTACATTGCAGAGATCCATCAGACTTTTAGCACAAGAGAAAAAACTCTTGACCTACCTCCATCAATAGCAGAACGATATTGGTGCATGCGCAAGACATGAGCTGATATTTGACGATCAATATCAGTATCCATTTGATCCAACACGATAAACAGTAAATCAAAACGAGACAACAACGAGTCTGGAAGTCCAATATTCTTTGTTGGAGTCAATGAACGATCATACTGCAGATACATCGAATAACTAGTCAATTAAGCCTAAACACATTTTTTGTGGTGCAAGAGCTTAGCATACAAGATCTATCACTTACAGTTCCATATATTGGATTTGCAGCAGCAACCACACTGCACCGAGCATTTAATGATGCATGGATGCCAGCTTTAGCAATAGTTACAGTTTGCTGCTCCATAACCTCATGTATAGCAACACGATCTTGATCATTCATTTTGTCAAATTCATCAATGCAAACAACACCTCGATCTGCAAGAACCATTGCACCAGCTTCCAGTCTTCTTTCTCCTGATACAGGGATATTTAACCTCCAACTAGGGAAAAAAATAGCATACACTGCTAAAAATGCTAAAGCACAATTGAGAAGCTTCACCTGTTTCTTGATCAGAAGTGACAGCAGCTGTCAGGCCAACGCCAGAAGAACCTCGACCAGTGGTTGATATAGCCAATGGAGCAATATTCATAATTGCTCTTAAAAGTTGTGACTTGGCAACTGAAGGATCACCAACCATCATCATGTTTATGTCCCTAAAAGAGCAGATATTTAAAACTTCTTATCTTTCAGAATTAGAAACAATTATCCAAAACACTAGTAGGAAAAAGAAAATATGACTCACCCTCGCAAGTGAGTGCCATTCTTCAAATTCTTTTCCACTCCTCCAAGCATCAGTAAGACAACAGCCTTCTTTATCCATGAGTGCCCATATATAGAAGGTGCAAGAGAATTACCAAGTATGTCAAATGCATCTTCTCTCCCTGCTATCTCTCTAATCTTTTTCACATCTTCAGTGCTGTAGATTGGGGCATTCGCCTCTTTGTTGAGCAGTGATACATTATTAGCTATAAGAACAGTCCTGCATAACAATATTGATTATTCAAGATTATAAAACAAAAGACACAAAGCTACAAAAGCAAAACAAGAAAAAAGTTTCAACGATTCACATTACAAGAGATACCTGAATACTCCATTTACACTACCCTTGCTCTTTCCAGGAAGAGCTTTGTATATACCTACAATAGCAACACGGTCTCCAGGCTTGCATGAATCAACCAGGTCATCCTCAACAATCACATCCACAGTCCGCGGAAGCTGACCAGGAGCAGCATTTTCAGGCACTTCCTGAATGGATAAGGTCTGATGATCTTTATATTGGCACAGTCCATACTCAGTCACCAACAAGTGGCCATTTTCATCCTGAAACAGTATCTCAGTTAAGATATTCTCAATCAAATTCAAATGACAACAACAAAACTATGAAAACCAGGAAGCTAAGATTACCCTTGTAGGATACACAGACCCAGTGGGCAAACCATTGTTGGAAGTAATATCTCTGTACTCACGAGTAGTGAAGTTTCCATTATCAGGACAGTAGTGCACACTTTTGACAACCTTCGGCCTTACCAAAGAACCTAAATTCAGGTACCTATATGTTAGATCCATGCAAACCACAATAACTTTCAAATTAGACATGGGAAAATCTAGTTTGAAGTATTTATTGAACATTATCTAGTATAAGTCAAAACCCAGGAAGATGACCCTTCTGCTTGCAATTTGCCAATGGTTAAACAGTTCAATTGGAACTAGCAATTAGCAACTAAGGTCCAGGTTTCTCGAGGACCAAGTCATTCCACGCATGGCACAATTTCTGAATCCAATCAGGTTGTTAAGTTATACCTTATGAACCAAACAATGTAACTACATTCTAAAAAGTTGGGATTTTGATTTTTTTTTTTTTTTTTTTGGGTACGTAAGAGTTGGAAATGTTAAAAACATACATTTGGTGACAATGCCCTCTACGCAGACCATGGATCCAATGAACTCTGAGAGAAGCTCTCTTGGCGTGACCCGACGAGAAACAAAAGGACCTTTAAAGCCCACAAGAACATGTTCTCCTTCCTTCAAGTACATAGGGTCAATACTCCGTGCAGCTTCTGTTACCGCATCACAGAATGGTTGCATGTACTCACTTGGATTCCTGAGTATCCTAAACACAGAACAAAACCTAATCAGTTCAACTCTAAGAAACAACAAAATGAGTGAATCTTCTTCAGTAGTTTCCAATCGCACAAAAATAAAAATAAAAATAAAAAATAGTGAGAGAGAAGAGAGTGTACTTGGGAGCCAGGTTGTTGAAGGAGTGGAGATCAGAGATGTCGACAATGAGGCGGCGGCGCTTCCGTTCTATCATCTCCCTGATCTCGGCTTGGTAAATCTGATCGATTGATCAATCAAAGAATCATTAAGTTGAATTTATCACTACATATAAACATAAGAATCGGATAATAGATAGAGGAGGACGAAGAAGAAGAAGAAATGGTACATCTTGGGATAAGAACTGGCTGATATCTTTCTTGCGATCGGCATAATCCTGAGCTCCGATCTCCATCTCTCTCTTTCTTTGCTGCGATTCAAACTTTCAGGCAGGGAGATTGAGAGAGACGACAGCAATTGGCAATTGCCGCAAAGAAAGAGAACGCTCTATCGGTTTCCCCAAACCCTACCGCTCGATTTTAGCGGGAAAAAGAGGAAGATGATACTGTTTTGGCGGGAAACTGATAAAAGCATACAATTATATAAGAAAATCTGTAAGAAACAACAAGCACGACTCCATGGCCCAATGGATAAGGCGCTGGTCTACGGAACCAGAGATTCTGGGTTCGATCCCCAGTGGAGTCGAACCTCTTCTTTTTCCAAATTTCAGAAAATACGTGTACTTCATAAATAATTAAGATTAAATGCTCATATCTATCAAAAAAAAAAAAAAAGATTAAATGCTCATAAATAATTAAGATTAAATGCTAAATTTGGTCTCTCAATTTTAGTGAGTTGCATATTTTTGATCCCTTAATAATTTTTTGTACTTTTTTAATCTCTCAACTATACAAAATGCACTCTGTTAGTCCTTCTATTAATTTGGACCGTTAACTTGGCCACATGGCATTTTTTATATATTTTTTTGATAACATAATGAGGACAACTTAGAAAGGTTCTGAGCTGGACTTTTTTTGATGATATATCACCTTCCCATGCCAAAACCCCTCCAATGGATCCCACATTGCCTGCAAACCAATCTCTCATCTTCACTCTCTACAAAATCAATCTAACTCATATCTTCTTATTCTCTGAATGCTCTCTCATCTCCACTTTATCTACAAAATCGATCTTAACCAATTTCTTCTTCTTCTCTGAATGCTCTCTCATCTCCACTCCATCTACAAAACCGATCTTAACCCATTTCTTCTTCTTCTCTTTTTTTGGGGGAACTTGAGTTACTGAGTTTCATTAGAGTCTCAAACTTGGCAGATCTTATCAAATCAAATTAACACTTCAATAAACAATACCAATCAAACTCTAATCAAATTCCAACAAAAATACAATCAAACTTTAATCAAATTTCAACAACAATGCAATCAAACTTTAATCAAATTTCAACAAAAATGCAATCAAATTGTAAATTAACTCCCAAATTTATAAACAACTGGGAATGGAAATCAAAAGAAAAATGAAAAAACATGAATCTAGTGACCAAACCAGCAAGGCTGGTTTGCGCGACCAGTAAGGTTGGGTTCATCAGAACCCAGCCGATCTAGGTTTTGACGAACCCAGCCTTTGACAAAACCAAGCTGGTCGGGCAAACCCGCCAAGGCTGGGTTCCAATGAACCTAGCATTGGTTGGTTGACGAACCCAGCCTATCCTAGGATAGGAAAGAAAGAAAGAGAGAGAAAGAAAGAAGGGGAAGAAGAGGGATTGGGAGGGTGAGGGTAATAAGGTAATTTTATTTGTTTTTAATTAAAAAATATATATTAATCTATGTGGCATTTTATTTATTTATATAACATAATTATAATATATATTATTGCCACATCATCAAAAAAATTAAAAGACAATGCCACATGAAATTATTTAACTGTCACATTATACTTAACTAACAGAGAGACCAAAACTGTATAATTTTTAGAGTTAAGGAATCAAAAAAATGCAAAAAATTGTTGAGGGGTCAAAAATATGCATTTCATAAAGTTGAGGGACTAAATTTAGCATTTAACCAATAATTAAACTCATTTTTTCTCGATTATTACCATTCTTATTTCTTAGGTCACAAAATAGAGCTTTTTTTATTAAATACAGCTTTGACGGTTTCACCTTTGTTTTGACAAATTTCTTAGAGTAACTGGCAATTAAATTCCATTTTACTTCGATTCCTGTTCTTAGGATAAAAAATTACCCAAATAGGGTGAAAGCTTGCTCAGTTGAAAAAAAAAATTTATTTTTTCTTTTTTAAAAAAGGGACAAATGTTTTAACTGTACCGTAACGAAGGAAAATTTTGAAGAGATGATGTGCGTTCTTCAATGAATTTCACTAAACAAGTCAAACGAAAACAAAATCTCACGTCTGAGCAAGTATAGCAGTAATTCAAAATGATGAAACAGTTCGCCAAAAGCTAACATTCAGAGTGTAGCAGTAATTAATTATTCATGATTCAACTAACAACGGCCAATGGCAACAAGTAACTATGAAGCGGTTGAAGAAAAGTTACACGAGGAAGCAAGGTCTTGATGATGCGCCTGTTAATGGCGGATCTCCTGTAAGATGTATCTCTAATGACGAATGCGTACAAACTGACTGCTGAGAATTATCAGGCCTTGAAGGGAGCAAATGCAACAACTGAGTTGTGTCCACCAAATCCAAAAGAATTTGAAATAGCTGCAATCATATATAGATAGATATGTTAGCCTTGTTGTTTGTTGATTCCAGCTTAAAGATGTGGAAGGGTAGTCAAGGAATAGGATTGAAAGAACATTTTTGCTTTCATTTGATTAACCATGGGATTGAAGGGAATGCAAATGGAAGTCACTATGAGAGGTTAAAAAGAGTTTGGAAACTTACCAACATTAACCTCATGCTGCTGCTTTTTGTTGGCGACAGTGTCAAATTCAACTGAAGGCTCAGGGTTCTGCATTTGAATAACATGGCATGTCAAGCATAACCATAAAATATAACAAATGATGAAAGGAAACAGTTCGGTTTTGAGGTAAGAAATGAGAATCCCACAAGATTCCAAAGTTTATCCAGTATCAATAGAATCTAAAGATCATTTGGCAGTTGGACTTGGATGGCAAAAAGTATCTTTCAACTAAAATGTAAATGGAAAAACAGAATTACTGAATGGAAATGTCAGAATTGACTGCAGAAACTAAAAAATAGGAAACAGTTAAGTTAGCCTAGACTGTATCATGATCCACTACTCTGGTTAAGCTAGTTTGAATAAATTTTTAAAGCGCAAATGCAGAGTTTAAGTAGAAAGTAAAACATACGAATTGGTTTATGCTGGGATGCAGCCATCCTGTTGTCATGGCCTTCACAGTGGCAATGGCTTCCAAACCTCCAGCTGCCCCAAGGCAGTGCCCTATCATAGACTGAAACACATAAAAGACAAGCAGTCAGTCAATAGCAAAAATGTTAAGATCGCTGTATCACAAACTCAAACAGCGAATGAATAAGATGAATGAGCAGAATCAAATAGAACATGCCTTGGTTGCATTTATTTTGATATCTTTAGTATTCTTGAATACTTTCTTGATTGCATTTATCTCGGCCAGGTCACCAGCAAGAGTAGAAGTAGCATGAGCATTTATATAATTAACCTGAAAGGAAAAAGGAAGAACTAATTTTGTTAGTTAACAGCTTATCAAAAGAATTAATTCAGTTTCAAGAATCAAGATGTCACGAACAAATAGATTCTAAACATGTACGTAACACTTCAACATGTGAAGTAAATAACTCAGTGCTAGGTTAAACATTTAGTTAGCAGGTCATAGCCATAACAAAGAAAAACATGCACACAAAATTAATAATGTTTTTAATGGATTTTGCCTCTTTCTTATCAAATTTTCCTACAGAAAAGAATTGAGTCATTTTTAAACTCTAAAAAAGCAGTAACAAGTCATTACAATGACTTTTTGAAATTATATCACATAACAGGGCTCTTAATCTCTCTCCCTTAAATTGAAGGGTTCATATTACAATAAGTAAACTGTAACTGGAACTTAGTATTGAATTGATGAATGTCTGGTGATGTTTCAATTGGATAGCTATCATCAACTTTGACCATACAACACAGAATATTTATCAAGCTATCTCAAAGAAAACAAACAAACAATTTGATAAAATACTTTAGTGACATTGAGATTGAATTTATGAAACAAATATCGTAGCACATTTACCATCAACCCTAAAAAGTGAAAAAATAAGGAACAGGATTTAACTAGAGCCCTGGAGCCGAGTTCCATCAAAGAAGTGCTGCCATGAAGACAACACCATATATCATGGAGTTTGGAAAAGAAACAAGAAACAAGCAAGAAGCAGTTACCTCCTCAGGGGAAACACCAGCATCTTCAAGGCTTTTCTCAATGCAGGAAGACACCCCAAGTCCATCAGCTCTTGGATCAGTCATATGATAAGCATCACAATTAACAGCCCCACCCAAGTACTCGGCAATAATTGGGGCACCTCTTTTCATTGCATGTTCCAAGCTCTCCATTACCTGGAAGAAAATGATAACTCTTTATAAAAAGGCTTTTGAGTTTTGAAATCATCAAGGCTATTCAATTATAAAATATGCAAAGCCAACTAAATATCAAAAAGGGAACTGATAAGCAAAAGGTATCCAATCTAACAAGCTCGTGATGAATAAGTCCCATTCTTTAACCAAACCAAAACGTATGTGATTCAAACTGCAAAATGTATTATCTTAATTCCTAGTTAGGCAATCTCCTCATTACTTCAGCCAACTATGAGATGCTAAAGAGGAAAATATAAGATGCTAAACTGAAACAAAACAACACCTAGAAGTGAATGAAGTAGATGAACTTGTACCCTAAGCATATTAACAAGCATAAGCTTACCAATACTCCAGAACCTTCACCCATGACAAAGCCATCTCGATCTTTGTCCCACGGCCTTGAAGCAGTTTGTGGATCATCATTTCTTTGAGACAGAGCTCTACAAGCAACAAAACCCCCCAACCCAATTGGAATAATTGCAGCTTCAGTGCCACCAGCAATCATCAAGTCAGCCTCACCTCGACGGATGTGATTTGCAGCAGCATAGAAGCAATAATTTGATGTAGCACAAGCAGTTGAAATTGAATAATTTGGACCCATGAAACCAAGATCGATTGCAAGCAAAGCAGATCCCATATTTGTTATTGCATAAGGAATAAAGAATGGTGTTATTTTCTTGTGACCCTTCTCTATGAGATTTTGAACACCATCAGAAAAAACTGTAAGACCACCCATTCCTGTTCCAACAAGCACTCCGGCTCGCAGCTTATCAATCTGCAATAAACATGAAATTAATAATTTCCTTTGTGAAAAAAGCATCTGACACATCATTTTAATCAAATTTTAATAGAAATATAAATGAAAGGTAACAAACAACTACCTTCTGAAATTAACATTTATCCCAAATTAACCATATGCCCAACACTACCATCTTAAAAATAGATATCCATTTGCAGCACATCACAGAAGTTAGTGCTAGTAAATCACATCTATAATAAAATATGCACTTAAATTTTAAAATCAAGATGCAAGCATCATGAACTATCCATCGAGGATGCAGGAGACATACCATGCAGGCAGCGGCATGAATAGAAACATAACAGGACGAAGGAAAGAAAACACTGGAGATTCATAACTGAAAATGAAATAAACAAATATACAATCACTAAACTACTAAGCTCTAGAAATGACAGATCCCTAAATCCAACGTAGTCTATTGCATTAAATTAGTAACCTATCAAGAAAAATAGCCACCACAAAACGTCAACTTAAAGCTCAACTAAACAACCCATCTCCCAGAAACAGCAAATCAAGTTCACTCATAAATCAAAAACAAGACGCTCATAAATCTTCAAAAGGAAGACAAAAATTAACCACTACTTAAAGAAGGTAATCAAGAAAACCCAGCAAGAAAAACCCAAAAAGAGATAAATTGACTGAAAATCAACCTTGGAAAGCTTATCACCCCCAAGGTCAGCATCCTCCAGCGCCTTCTTCCCTGCAACAATGCAGTACCTCAAACAATCATCGAGCCTCCTATCATTCTTCCCATCAATGTAACCCTCAGACGAGAACTCCCGGATCTGACCCCCGAACCGCGTAGGAAACTTGGACGCATCGAACCGGTCGATGGGCCCGATCCCGCTTTCCCCCGCGAGCAATTTGTCATAGTAAGCATCGACATCATTCCCAAATACAGACACCAACCCCATCCCCGTGATGACCACCCGCTTCTTGGGGTCGCTCTCTCGCTTCGGAGCAGAAACCATAGTGGACGAAGCAGTGATGGAGAATTTCTTAGCGCGTCTGGATACATTGGCGAAATGATGATTCAGTTGGGGTTTTTTGGTGGGCTTTTGAAGTGGGTTCAGAGGGGAGGCTCGGAGGGAGGTGGGGTGAAGAGCTTGCATGGCGGAAGATGGCGGAGATAACGAAGTGAAGACTGAAGAGGTGAGATTGCAGAAGCAGAAGGTGGGAAGAATTGGAGGTTTGGCAGCTACAGCTAAGAAGGCCGCGACGGTGTCGTGTGTGTCCTGCCTGTATTTATAAAGGCCACGTGAGCATTTAACAGCAGAGTAGTGGCTATAAATGTCAAAGCAGCATGCCTCCGGTGGCTCTAATTTCTAATTTAAAAATACTTTTTTAAAAAAATAAATAGATAAAATTAGGGTATCATAGTATCAAATATGTTCAATTATAATTATTAAATTATTATCAATTACTTATTTGTTTAAGTAGAAGTAATTTGATTTCTCTCAAATAAGAT